TTTGCTGTATTACGAATGAATCTGGCGGCCATTGAAACCAACGGAAAACCTAGGAGACCGAGGAAACTAGTAAGCAGAACGTAACCGCTATGAACAAACTGTACGCGAAGCACTGCTTGTCCAGCTCATTTTCTTTTAAGGAAGCAGGGGAGCAATCTCCCGGTATAATGTTGCGTACCTTTATTTTGCTTCCAGTGTAACATTGCATATTTTGTTAATTACATATTCGCTTTTTGTTTGAATACAAAAAACTACAAAGACGCGCATTTGTACAATTTCACGCAATACAAACGTGGCCACGTGTTCCGACTCTCTTTTCTGATTTCGCTTGCACTTACAGCGGACATTCGCGAGTCTCATGTGCTAACTCTGGTATCAAAACATTTCAGACTATCTTCGGAATATATTATATGTTCAGAAGAATAACCTGGACGATCGTGATTGGATGGGTGTTAACTCGCTGACCTGGGTCACTGACGAACTATTTTAGAGATAAGGATTATTAGTCATTCCGATCCATCCAACCTCTATTATTGTATACCCAATCTAGCGTCATTATTTTTAGTTTTTTGCCATCCATCCCTTGAAAAGTAACTTATTGGGTAGCCATACCACTGCTTTGGTCATCTATAGTCGCAAACACACTCAAAGAGCTTCCAAGTATTTGTATGCTTGAGTTCCGGCAATTCGACGGCTGTGAGGTTCTGAGTTGGACACCTGCAGCTCTTTGCTAAATTATGGGGCGCCGTCTTGTGAAGTGTGACGGTTTTTAGCCGATGAAGTTTGCATGGTCCTCACCACTCAGCTGCCGGAAGTGCCGGCTAACTCAGCTAAGTAGGAGACGGATAGTTGAATTTCATCCTAAGGTCTTTGGCTGTTGTAAAACTTCGGGAGCCCGCCCCGTGCTTTTGTTGCATTCAGGAGAGGGTCACTACGGTCACATATTCTTCGCAAGATGGCCGCACTTTCGACGCTTCCTGGATGTACTAAATGTCGACAGAAAACGGGCGACAAACCTCTTTGTGCGGGTATTTTTGAAATAACCAATATATGACCCTAAGGTGCAAGCTTTAGAGCTTCCTGATCAAGGATACCATGAGTACTGTAATGTGTCTTTGTGGAAAGTGAACGTTTTGCCTGTATGCGCAAACTGTCTCCCTTGTTCACATAATGGTTGGTGTGCAACGACCGCTGGTGTGCAATGCATCGCGTATCATGTCACGTTGACTGCCTTGGTGGTGAACTTTACCCGCTAGGTGGTGGCTTGCTCCCAGGGTGAGTGCGCATACGATCAGCTTATTATTTCTGCCAGAAAGTGCGCAGGTTTGCCTACCAGATGGTCCACAAATAAGGCAAGTTATGATGTTCAACTGGACCAAAACACAAAACTCCGAGAGAGTGCCCCCCTCCCATTTTCTGCTCCAAGGGGGAGCAAATAAACAGGCGTGAGTTGATACCGTAATACTAATAACGGTGCTGTAGCGTGCCAGCTTTACGAACCAGAAGATGATGAGTTCGCGCGGCGCTTTGTTTTACCTCTACGAATTCTCGTGGCCACCTCAAAGAATCCAGTCGGTCACAGAATTGCTCATCCCAACCCAGTCACCTCAAAAATGACCCCCGTCAGTCAGCTCTCCAGAAACTAATGTGTGTCAGTACAATGATGGTACGGCACCGCCACATCCAGTTTCATGGCACACTCGCAACCATCCAATTCCCACTTTTGAAGAGGCTCCCTCGCGCGTTTCCTCCCTTACCTGCATCTACAAAGAAATGCGTCACCCAGCTCCAGCCGCCCCCAGGACATTTTCATTCTAATCTGCTGAAACTTCCGTTCATACCTCAAAATCTCGACGACTTTCATTCTGTGCTTGTCACGAAATCAGTCATTCTCTGTGCAGTTTACTTTCCGCCTTATGCATTGGCACCCACTCTCTCTCCGAAGGAACCTACTCACCCGACTCTGCTCCAAAAGCGACACCCGTGAGTCTGTGCAGTTTCACCGTACACAGTAATTCTGAGATTCCTGTTACCGTTTAGCCGAATTCTCCCTTCCTCCGTTTCATCATCTCTACTTACGCTTTTCTTGACCCTATCCTTAAGCCCAACAGTCCAAGGCCTCATTGGCGGTTTTGGGCTTCAGGTTAAATTGGCCGTCCAGATCGTGGCAGATCTGCTGTTCCACCAGATCCTCTGTTCAAGTTCGTCATTTCTCGCAGTTCGAAGTTTTCTCATCATGTGCCAGATAATATGCCCCTTGTTTTGGGCTCCATAATTTCGTTTTTCCAACACCCTTCAAATCTTAATGACCTGACCTTATCTCAGCTTCCTATGTTCCCGAAAAGAAATAAAAACCAATAACTGTGTTTCTCCGCCCTCATTGGTTTAGGCGCGCTCAAGTCTATATCGGATGATGCCTAATGCCCCTTTTCCGCACCCTCTTCAGCACCCGTAAATCCCGTCACTCGTGCTTTTATTCTCATCGTAATAGTACGATCATGCCTGACGGTATGCTACATATCGGTCGGGAATAGACAATCTTGTGATCATTATTGTCAATATTTTAGTGAACTTACACATCTTTCTTCCACTACAGTACGTCAAAACCTCGCCGAATACTACGCAGCTAGAATACCGTACACCCCTCTCAGAAGAGATGTAACGATCGTTCAAGTTGAGCGTTCAACTTTTAACGGTGGGTATGGATGGGTGCATGGAGTCCTCAACGTCCGTTCCGATCGACGTAGTTTTCATGTGGCTAGGTGATTAGCTATCGTGGAACCGTAACCTCGTGTTAGTCATGTGCCTTGGTTGTGTTCATTCAGTTGTCCACTGTGATCAGCAGCATGACCATCCTGACATGTCTGGGGGACTCGGCTGCAGTTTATCACAAAACCTGACATAGGTCATCAACCTCTGCAAGCCTTACGTTCCCCAAACTTTGTACGCCTTATCCGCCTGCCGCAACGAAAACTCGGACTAGCAGTTCTTGTGTGCCAGAAATATGGAATCGTTATTCGTTCAGTAAGGTAGGATATGCGTAGCAAAAATCAAATTCACTAGTGGCACTCCCGTATATTTTGCGTCCACAAACATAACGTAGACCCCAGAAAGATCACTAAATTGTTTAGGCCACGGCACTGCCTGAAACTTTCTTCCCTTGTAAGCGATTCACGCCTTACTGCTTCGAGCACTTAGTTCCATTTTGCGAATACCAAGCGGTCCTTAAATTGATCTTCATTCATCTACCCTCATCGTCACTCAGTGTTCGCACAATGGAATGGAATTTTCGAAAGCTACGACGTGGCTCTTTCGACAAAAAGAGACAGGCAATTGACTTCAGAGTGCGAGTTCAGTCTTGGGAGCCCCAGCTAGGCATCCCGTGGTATCAGCGATGCTAGGAAAGTGTCCCATCCGAAGTTCCACCAGATGTATGATTTCTTCGGTGGACAATCAAATTTGGTGAGCTGAAAAATATGAATGTAGATTAGGATGGTGACGAAGTGTAATATTTTAGTTTATTTTCATTCCATTATCAAAGATGTTGCAGTTTAAGAGCATTGTGCGGCTAATGGGCTCCACCTTCCTCCGCTCAATATTTTATGGCTACTTCTACGGTCCCTTTCTATATAAGTTGAGAGGAAACCGACAATTTTCGGATGTCTGAATATGAAATTAGCATATAAGACTCCTGGCACTAAGAACTTTTAGCTCCAGTGGATACGGGCAGTCAAGAGGAACTGAATTGTAGCTTCTCAGAAGAGCCGCGTGCCGGAGTTGTGAAATCAACTGAGCGTGATGGTTTCCTTTCAGATGATTATCGTTGAACTCGAACTTCATCGACAACTTCAGAGGAATATATCGACGATGCTATACTTTCAAGTTAACTGGTAATTGCATCCTCCCATGAAGGTACTGGTTAGACTAGCACATCAAGGGTGGTTAGTTGCGACCAGTTCGAGACTTCAACCACTCCGTCCCTGACAAAGTCGTTAGACGTGGCAACCTGTCCTCTTCCCTTGAAGAGTGGGTCACTTCAGGCATTGGTCGAGGATTCATGCAAAGCCGTCACAGAATCCCTATTAAAAACCACGGATGCCCAAGAGGGACGGCATTCTTGTCCATGAGGGAAACCTGTTGTAACCACTTCAGGTGTTGCAGTTGCCAGTTACACTAGCTCAACTATCCTAACTTCTGGAAACACTGCTCCTCCAAATTCCAAATATCATTCGCCTACCCTGTTTTGCCCAGCTTCCTTTGTATACTTTCCACCGGCCCCGCTCAGTGCGCCACCTCATCCTTCAGCCGCAAACCATGCACAACTGATCTATGCCAATCAGTGCATGTCCTATCTTCATGATTCCTTCGCCGGACAAGCGCCATACACCTTCATGGCCTCTTCCATGTTGCCCCCACCAGGGAGCTTTTTTCTCGCATCTGTAATTCAAGCGTCGTTTATTAGCCATTCTCCATCCGTATATTATGTACCACAGTTCGCTCCGATCCCGACAAATGCGTCACTCCCGAATGTTATGGCACCATAATCCGCCCTCTGAACTCCAAACGGAATTGCTTTCTTGAAGCCCGAAATCCAGCGCCAGGAAAACCGCAGAACTGATTTCAAGGGACGTATAGCAGAGTTTTTCCCGGTATCTGCAAACTGTGAGAATCGCCAGTCTCAACGGGCGTTTCGGAAACGTTCTCAATCTGGCGGTGAGGTCTTCACAACAATACAATGTCGGGTCGGATTCCTGTTGAATCCATCTACATCCCGAATGGAACTCAATCCCGGAGCAAATGACACCATACTCAATGAGCGTTCCATTACCCATCAGCGTCAAACCCTTGTTCAGGAAAAGGGTTTTACCTTCCATGCTTATAATCAGTTTCGCGCACTGTGCTTGAGGGACAAAGAAGGTAAAGAAAAGAGGCTCTCCCAAGAAATTAACATATTGTACAGTTTCTGGTCGTTTTTTCTTCGTTAACACTTCAACAGCACAATGTACAAACATTTTCGGCGTCATGCGCTGGAGGACGCAGAAGAGAGCGCTCGTTATGGGATGGAATGCCTGTTCCGTTTCTATAGCTACGGTCCAGAAAAACGGTTCCGGAAAGCTATTTTCAGAGACTTACAGGAGGAAGCACTGCGAGAATATGATGCGGGCCGTCTGTACGGGCTAGAGAAAATTTGGGCGTTCTTGCATTACAGTCGGCGAAAGTTCGAGGTAGAGGATCGGTTACAGGGTTTATTGGATAACAGGTATCGAACTTCACAGGATTTCAGGGTCAATTTCCAGCCTCCTGATGGATTTTTCATCAATAAACCCGGCGGCGCACGGAACCTGAATCAGCGAGTCAAACCTGGTCCAAGGATCTCACGACCCAAGTGATCCGCGGTACATTTGATACATGAACGCTTAGTTTTTCACATCAACCCTGGTTTTCCTACCACGGACACCGACTACCGCTCTCCGAACTCAACAATGCCTCAAGCACTAGCACCATGGTGGTGTCATCAGCTCGGTTGTACACAGCGGAAACGTTCTAGTCTACGGACAAAATGTCTGTTCTTCCACTCTCATTTTCGCTGTTACCCATGCTCCGGAAAGAATAACCTTTGACATCTCTGAATATGTTGGCATACAGTCCCGCGACCCTGGTCCCGCCATTTCCAGGGTTTTCCAGTTGTTTGCCTTTCCATTTCCGGTGTGCCGCATTGTACGGTCTACTGTGTTCGTGATGCTTCGTCGGCCTTTGCCGCCCAAGCTTAGTGCCGCTTACCCCTTTGTTTCTTTCGTGATTCTGTTTGAATCACTTTAAATGATTATAATTACTACTTGCGTACATGCCCGTGGACGGAGTGAGTTACTTCGTACCTTGATACAAAATCGCTTTCAATGATCTTCATTTTTCGAAAAAATGTTCAATGATTTCGCGTTCGCTTTTTAACTCACCCAACTTCGAATACTCGTTCAAGCATTCCGAACCTGTTGCATTATCTCCGACTCTTCGTCTTGCGTTCACTGCTACGCTTCTATCCCCAGCCTTCTTACCTTTCAGTCGCTGCTCACTGTATGGCTTACAGCTACAAGGCTTTATGCAGATGCATCTCCTGCCAGACTTCTTCGTTCGTTTTCTACATTTCAGCGTCTGCGTCCTGATTATTCACTCATTCTTCCCCGTATAGCTCACGGATTCCACATACTGAGTAACGCTTCTCCCGTCTCATGTTCCCCATTACAATTTAGTTGGGGCACAACGCAACTCTTTCACACTGCTGTCGTTACCCCAGTTTCTCCACTTACCCTATGCATGATCATGCCAAATGGTGTTCCACCCACAAGTTGGGAATATACATTATTGTTATTATTATTTGAGCTTTGTGCATTCTTCATCTTTCTCACCACTACTACCTTTGCTACTATTATTGTTGGAATGTGGACATTATCATTTTTCCCGCAATGATTTCTACTCTGCAATTTCACTGTGTGTTCCTTGTTCTCATGGGCTTGTGTGTGCATTGTTTAGTCTTAGAATACTTGTGCCTTTTTATTTTCGTCCAGCCTCTATGAACACAGGCACACACAACACCGTCTATGTGACGAAAACGACAATAACCCGGTCTTAGCTATTCCGACTATTCATCGTTCGTTTTCTGATTTGCGCGCGTGGGTTGAAAATACATATAGTTGCCGTTCACCTGTTCCTGAAAAAACTTGGTTAGTAATATTTTCGGATTGACTCTCAGTCAGCCTAATCGTTTTCTCCAAGTAAACAGGGTTTTCCGAAATTTTTTAAATTGTAACCTCCACCCAGATGTATACTTGAGTAACGTTTCGGTCGTTCGACCAATAGAAATAAAAAATTAGATGAGTATGTTCTACTAACTTCGGCACAACACTGTTTTTTGGAAATTCACCTCTCGTGCAGTATAACTGTCGTTAATGAATTATTGCGCGGTTCAAATTTGATGCAAATGTGCCTTTTTGTGAATGATTCTCAATATCATTTATAAGCAACTAATGGAAAGATGATACAACCTTCTCAGACACAGTGAACGAATTATCGATATATCGGCAAGAGATCATTCTCTTCGGAAAGTATGACTTAACCAAGCTCGATTGCTTCCTAATTGCAACACGATTGTCGGAAAATAAGCCCCTGTTCTGATTACTGCTATACTCGCCTACTTGCCATTTAAGCCATTCCCGTATCAATGCGCGCCGCTGATTGCGAGGCCTCAACCATACATGATAGCCCAATTCAGCGGCCAACAACCGTACTTGCACTCCGCTTGGTTACTTAAACAGTCTTTGGGGTACGAATCCCAATTCCGCGGGACTTTAAAATTTTGCCCGAGAGGATAGCTGAGACTGCGTATCATATCCTTCAGAGTGAGGATAAACGATTCATAAGGGAGGGCTCGAAACAGGTTGGCACCGGTGCAGAAAATTCCGCAAAAATTTCTGTGGTAATTTCCGCAGTGTCCGCAAATTTCTGCACCCGAGTGCAGATCCTGTTCTGAGATGAAACAAGTTTCCATACCCAGGTGAGGAAAACTCTTAATCAGTATTGGTGGTCCCGCATCCGGTCTGCAATTAGCTGAAGTCGTCCGGCGCGAAAATTTAGCCCATCATATGCATTTACTTATTCCCCTAGTTCAGTTCGCTAACTCTGTAAATAATGTGCCCCCGTGTCGTGATAACTCCTCCCCCCACAACTTTCTCAGCATATTATCTTCTTGGAAATAAATAAGCTTTTAAATAAAAAAATTTATGCAAATGAATTTTCAAAATATACAAGGGAGTCACTTTATTCTTTGGTGGCTCTCTTCGGGAGTTGCCGAAATTTCTCCCGTTCGTTTCCAGCCAGCGATGAACGCTTCCCGTGATTCGTCGTAGATAGGTGTTTGAAAACTTCTCAGTTGTCGCGTCTGTAGTGAAAAAAGATAATTACAGAATTTCATCCAGCCAGCTGTTCAAGTACTTAAGTATAAGATTACCATTTAATACATGCGAATAAGTCACTGGGCCAGCCCGGTTGACCACGAAGGCCTCTTTTTCGTTTATAGCGCGCAAGTTAAGTAGTATGCCCAGTCTTGGTGCTGTAGCGGTCTGGCTACCCAATAAGTTAGTTTACCAGTAGTGTGTGGCAAAGAAATAAAAATGATTACGCTAGGTTGGGTACACAAAANAGACGGAACAGACTCACTAACAATTGTTCTCTTTAAAATAGTTCGTCGTTGGCGCAGATCAGCGAATAAACCATAATCCAATTATGTTGGTCCAGAGGTCTTCTTCTGAACAGTTCTCACATATAATAGATTCCGAAGATGTCTGAAATCTTTTGGTACCAGAGTTAGTACATGAGACTCGCAAATGACCGCTGCAAGCGCGAACGAAATCAGAAGAGAGAGTCGAAGCACGTGGCCACGTTTGTATTCTATGAAATTGTACCAGTGCGCGTTTTTTGTAGCTCTTCGTATTTAAACAAAAAACGATTATGCAATTGATGAAATACGTAGTGTTATAATGGAAGTAAAATAAAGGTACAAAACGCCACAGTGCCAACGTCCGGTATGTTGGTCATGTACAGTCATGTACATCGCCAGTCTCCTGCAAGAGCCACCCTTCCACCTTTGTAAAATCGATAAACGTGACTACGAGAAATACCAACTCTGAGGTGTTCTTCATACCTCAGGAGCTTACATGTAAATGACAGGGGTAGAAGGGCCTCATTGAGCGCCTGAGAACTGCTTGTGGGTACTTAAGAGTTCGGTTTCATATGCAGTCCCTGTAGTAAGGAGTAAATCCGCTCCACTTTCTCTGCAACATAGTTAAGTTGAAACACGGCAATTTACTCACTGAGAATGAGGTTATCCAGGTCTTAAGAAATTACATTGGCCTTTCAATGAGGGGATTTCGTTATGGAAAGTGAAGTACAACGCGTGTAAAACAAACCTGAGGAGTGACTTCAAACTACGTGATTCTGCATCGGCGGGAAGTGTTGTATATGTGGAACTACTGAAAGATTTTATATGGTGGTAAGGAAATAAAACGTGCGTTTTACATATGCCCAAGGCATTGCCTGGGGCGGATGGCGCGTCGGAAACGAGAGTGGTACTGGTGCTCGAGGCCGATGTGCTGGTACATCTAAAATTAAGGAATGAACGGGTTAAAACGTTAGTCGGTGTGGGAGGAGCTAGTGTGATCATGATTACGTTTGTAAACAGGGTGGTATTACCATTAAAACGATTATCTAATTCGTCTGTCATATCAGGCGACAGCTGCTTCTTTTTCACTGCAACCATCGTAATACGGTTGATAAACACACTGTTTGCGTTTAGCTTCCCGTATGAGCCCTTCATCGTGCTGCTCTTTGGAGAAAGTACGCCCAAGGACTTCATGATGGTCACCCAGTGCATCCGCGAGCGTTTCTAAAAACATTCTAAAATGAACATTGACTTACTGCACGACTTCATTGAACACTTGGGTATGGTGCCCCCTAGCAATTTAGCATATAAAATACTTGTGCGCGAGGGTCAAAGGAGTGAATCAGGTGGTAAGAACCGCGATTCATGCACTATACCAACATAGTTGTTCTCAACGATCAGAGTGCCGTACATGGATGGAAAAAAGGTTTCATATACAAAACCTCAGGGTAGAATGCTTTGAAAGAATGACAAAACACCAACCCAAGTATGTGTGTTTATTTTATGAAATATTGGGTAGTACCAGTAACAACGGCAAGGGTAATGACTAATTAATAAAGGTATGCAAAATGGAGAAGTGTATACCACTGTTTCTGTAGGAAAACTTAAGCACTCCCAAGATATTTTATTGACTCATGCATACAACTGAGTGTGTGGCAAGTCAGAGCGCTAAAAGACTACAACGTCCGTTGGTTTTACTACGTCTGAGTACAATGACAGAAGTGTTTTGAATGTCTGACACTCAATAGTATCTGTAGTGGACAAGGACCTATGTATGCGTGTTCGATAGAATATGCAATGCAACCAAAAGCTTAGAAATAACAAATGGTAATAAGAAATGGACAAGTGAACGGAATGGACTCACTAAATTGGAGGTCCAATAATTCCATTCCACTGAATCTTGTGCAGTAATTGTATCCGGCGGTGAAGAATGTATCCAGAGTAAGAAGGATATTCTCCACTGATAGTTCGAGTTTTAGAA